AATATTGATATAGTTTATTTCATTTATATCACACTAGCTGACCCGACAAACGTTACCATATAAGATATTTGTAAACAATTTCTAGAGAATACAAAAAAATACTACTAATATTAGGAGGACGGAGTAGATTAGTATGGACGAAATGAAGAACTGATGAAATTTTTGGTAAGGCATGTCTAGCGGTTTCGGAGATACAGAGAAAAAGTAAAAAATATTGATATTTGGCGGTCAAAATCAAATTATCAGATATTTGATCAAATTTTTAAAAATGAGTACTAATTTTGTTACAATTTTGTTGAGTTCCGTACCAAGATTGTTAATTTTTAAAGTTTTTTAAAGTTTCTAGCAAATTTCAAAATTTTCGGAAAAAAATTCTTCAAAGTTTCATACTTCAAATATGAATTTTAAAATCACAATTCAGTTTGAAAATGTAAATATTCCAATTTCGTTATTCTAATTATAAGAAATATATCCTCAGATGGATTTATTCGACACCTCTTGCTAATGTAAACTTTCTCAAGAGTTTTGAGCGATAAGCTCGTCACTGTATATTTTACGAACGTTAAAATATATAGTGATTATAATTATCTTTTTGAAAATGTTTAAAACAATTGTTATTAATCATTGATCAATATTTATAGATTACTTATTTTTTTCTTTCTCGAATATTTCATTTTCATAGGGAATTTGCCTTAAGGCACGATGCCATGCACTACTAGTTTGGTCTTGCGACTAATATAGTCATTGCAAACTTCAATTAATTTATATCATTATTATTACTTAAATAATCATTGCAATTTCCAATAAATTCCTACAGAATACAGGCTTTGAAATAAATATGATTTGCAGAAAAGACCACAAAATCACAAAGAGTATTTTCATATCAATATTTCAAAGAAGTTGATAAAAAAAACTACAAATAAAACTACTTACTTCAATTAAATAATATTCATCTAAAGCATTTTATTAAATTTAATTGAACATAATCTGTCTAAAACCATTTGACATTTGACGTATGAGCCGCAGTCGATTGTTTCATTTTAAATTACGCTTCTACAAAAAAATTTAAATTAAAAATGTAAAGTTTCTGCGCGGTTTAGAAATAATTTATCACTTTTCCCACAATTTCTGCATTAGCACAAATATTTGAAGACTAAAACTGGCCAAATCGGTTCAGCCGTATTTGAGTTTTATCGTCCTTAACATATTACTAGTAGTTTAGTTTATCCCAAATATGGGGTAAGTTGTAACATCGTACTTTTTCTAAAAAATGATTAATTATAAATTACTAAACAATAGTTATGAAATTGTTTTTACTTGATTTCATAGAGGATTAGTTACAGCATCTGTTCATCTTTATTTTGTAGAAATAAAATTGGTTGATCTTAAGATATATTAATTTTAAAAAACGTAACAACAAGCGCCTAGCTCTCCTAACATTAGATTTTATCTTAGCATCTATTAGTTTTTCTTAAACTCTGCCCCAAATTATTATGGAAATTCATTCAAACATATTAAATATATGCAAATAGAAGATTCGGCTTTGTTTTCTAAATTGTCATTATACTATTATGAATATACAGATTTTTTGATAGCTCTCTATAGGTGCCGACTTTTATATAATATATTATTTATTCTGAGTTGCTGGCTCCCACTGTTACGTACTTTTCCATTCTGTTCCATCCTAAAGTTGCAAAATATTTGAGCCTACGCCGAATAATGACATCATCTTATTGTCTTTACGACTAAGGAAATTTTTTTTAAGGAGCGTCTTCTCTAACAGGTTATTGTGACATTCATTTGAAACACACGCATTTGAAATAAATGAGATTTATTAGAAAATCAGGGATTTTATGGGTAATTAAATTTATTGATGTGAGGAAAAATCTACCTGTTCAATGAGTAGGTCTAGAAGTTATGATTAGTAGGTATGGCTTGTTGGAATTGTTTGAATTCCTGTTGCAACTGTTAATAATAGTAATCTGCTATAACTGGTAATAATAGATCAAGTACTTTGTCATTTAGAGTCAATAAAAAAAACAATTAGGGATAGTATGTGACATATCATATATATTATGGTGATTGCATATTGCAAAACCTAAAAAATGTGGTATGATTTCAAGCAATCTTTTTTTTTACATTGCTAGATATCAAAAGTATTACTAAAGTAAGATTTTATCTTTTTTTTTTTTGCAATTTCTTTCTTTCTTACAATTTTGCAAAACTACTTTTTCTTATTACTCTTTCTTACAATTTTGTAAAATTACTTTTTCGATACTTTTGAATTTATGACTTAAATATAATGCATATATATAATTTTTTTTTTTAATAATAATTTTATTTGATCATCTATCTACAGGAGATATAAAATCAATTGCATGGCTTAGAATTGAACAAAGAAAGAAAAATCTAAGATCTACATCCAGTGATGCAGTTCGCATATATATAATTAGCAATAATTTTAGTTCATTTTTTTATTCTTGCATTCTGATAATACTATTATAAATTTAATACTCATTTACGAATCACAATTTTGTCAACTTACATTTTGTTTGTTACATGGCATCAAAAAGTCCAAGAATAACTAAACAAGATAGTTTAATTTTTTTAAATTTTTACTTAATTTTTAGTACAGTAATTATTAAAAACAATAATGTAATTAACGTCATAGTTCTAATATGATCTTGTTAGTTGGGTTTGCAGACTATATTATATTTTTATCGAAATTGGACTACAAGAACTATAAATATACTAATATCGAATGTACGGAGTGCGGAGCACTAACAATAACTAGAACTTTGCATTGTATTAGGAATTGCAAAATACTCTCTTTTTCTTGAACTCTTAAAACAACATCCCATAGGCCCAAAATATTTTAAGGGGTTGGTTTTGAATGCCTACTCTATCACCATACAAAATTTCATCAAAATCACTGAAGAGTTAACCTGAGGTTGTCCTTATTAGACCGGGTAAAGGTTTCAGATTCCCTTATATAATTATAAAAATTGGAACCATATCTGCTCGGTATCGCCAGATGCCTGAGCGAATGACGAAGTTCGTTGTGAAAACAGCGTTCTTTTTGAAAATTATATTTATATTAATTTATATTAATTAATATTTATATATTAAACGCATAGCTCAATCAATTCTTTGGGCGCTAGACGAACGTCTGGTGTTTCAAAATCGATTGTAGTAAACGCTTGCGTTAGTATTTTTATACTCTGCACATTTTATCAAATTGTGCGAATTTGAACATTCGCTTAATTGCGTTGTTTTAAGAAAATGAAAGATCAGCGAAAGCAGTTTTTTCAATCTCACACACAATGAAATATTCATATTTAATAAAAGGGAGAGGTTATAGATTTCAAATATAGCCTCAAGTGAAAATCTCCTCTCGTGGGTATAGTTGCATATATATAATAAAAATGTCAGCACTTCGAGTATAGTTAATAATTAGTCATAATTGGATTGGACAACTACTGGGTTGCCATACATTCATAAATCCATATAATGAAGTCAAAACAATTAACTGAATGTCCTAAGTGTGACAGATTGTAATTGAAATATTAAAAAGAAAAAAAAAAGAGTGCGCGTATGTCATAGTTCTAATATGACATGATCAGTTTGTCATTGTGATTAGCATTCAGAAATGAACCTTAATTAGAGAAATGAAGTAATTGCTGATTAATAAATTCTATAATATTTGTTCACACAGTAGATTATGTTAAACAACGCATAAACAAATATTATTTTCGCAACTTCACTCATCATGTAATTGTGTTTGAAGAACTTCAAGTAATTAAAATTACCATACATTCATTGACTGCTTGTATCTTTTTTACATTTAGTTGGCGATATAATCTCATTCTTTAAACAGCTGTAATATCTGTCTTGTCTAAAAAATATTTTCTATTTTAATAACTTCAAAGATTTATAGAAACTACTATTCATAGAAATAATTTCTAATCAATAAACTTACTTATCTTTTATCTTATTAATCAATATGTTCAAGGAACAGGGTAAAATATTCTTCTGATTCAGGCATCTTTTATTAAATCATAATTTGTACTACGATGTAACTTTAAAATGTTTATTTATCAATGCCGATTTCCTTGTCGATATCGGTACGCATACAACGACAGATATCTATTCACATACGCGACGACTAATCACAATCGACCCATATAGAAATGATATCATCGAGAGGGAATGGCGAATCTTTGGCACTCGACTTTTATCTTATCTTATCTGCCGTAACGCACTTCCGTGGCATTTGTACGGATTTACACCCTAGTCGCGCCTAAAGAAAATTTTCTTCAAAAATGGAACTAAATGAAAATTTATTCCTAAAAATTAACACTGTTATTTATTATTTGGTTGCTAATATTTTTCTTCAATTTTTACAACCACATTTCATATCGATATCCATATCCTATTAATACAATTGGATAATGATTCCTAAAAGCTAATTAAGACTATTTTTTTATAATTGTATACTAATCTTTTGTTAGATTCTCATGGGTACTATTGGGTAATACTTCTCATGACCCTATAAAATTTTAAGGAGTTTGTTTTGAATGCCAACTCTGTTACCATGCAAAGTTTCATCAAAATCGTAGAAGAATTAACCTGAGGTTCTCCTTGTTAGACCGCGTTAGGGTTGCAGATTCTCTAATATTATTATAAAAATTAGAACTGTTTTAAAAAATATAAGTTTGACGAAACCATATCACATCAAACACAAATGAAAATTTATTCTTAAAAATAAACACTGTTATTTATTATTTGATTGCTAATGTTTTTCTTCAATTTTTACAACCGCTTCTCATACCCATATCCATATCCTATTAATACAATTGGATAATGATTTCTAAAAATGGATTAACATATTTTATATATTTGTATTTTAATCTCTTGTTAGATGCTTATGGGTATTGGGTAATGTTTTTCATAGGCCTATAAAATTTTAAGGGGTTTGTTTTGAATGCCAACTCTATTACCATGCAAAGTTTCATCAAAATCACAGAAGTCTTCTTGTTAGACCGCGTCATGGTTGCAAATTCTCTAATATTTTCATGAAAATTAGAACATCTGATACAAATATACCAATATCAAATGTACAGAGTGCCAAATACAAAAAGTAATTACAACTTTGCAGAATAAAGAAATAGCTATAAATAACATCAATTGAGTTATTGAAGATTGAGACCACGATATATAATCCATAAAACTTTCATTAATTTTTTCACCTATGCAAAGTTTCTATGTACATGTAATTCAATAATTACTTCCATTAGTATATCTCAATCAATTTAAATGATTCGTACTTTACAATCCAAATAGCAAAAATTAAACGCACATTAAACAAATATACATTTCTAAATAATAATAATTTATCTTTTCTTCTGTGTGTCGAGTGTATTGTGTTATAAATATCCATATATGTAGGTATGTGTAAATGCAGAAAGTTGGAGTTTCTTTGAGACTTTCGAATAAGTTACTTTCTAATTCGTCGTTTCTTGACGACGTTATGTAACGACTTAGTCGAACGAGCGAGCGACGCGGCGAAAGAGAAATATCACACAAAACCGCACACACGATAACACCGACCGACTATTAGCGGCTCAATGGAACGCATTAGACCAGATTAATACATAAAAGATATATTATATACGATATATTAATAGAGATAATTTACTATTTTACACGCTCGATTTAGATATTCCAACTATCGATGATCGATGAAAGTAAGAGTCGCGGTAAGAGTCGAGGAAGAAGCGCTGTAAATAAACATTTAGTACAGGGATGATGAAATAAGTGTGAATCATGTTCCATTTTTAATGATTTGTTTGCACTGATTTGATACCGTTTTAATTAAGGTGACCATACGTCCCGGATTGGCCGGAACAGACCCGATTTTCTGCCTTGCGTCCCGGCTTTTTCTAAAAGCCATATTTGTCCCGGTTTTAGGTTTTTTGTCACGGATTGTCCCGGATTCATAAAAAGGTTTTGCTTGCCAATATTTTTTAAATATATTTCAACTAGAAAATTTGAACCGAAAAAATGTGCATATAAGTTTTTAGCTCACCAACACCCTCCCCGCTCTCACCAAATTCTAATCCGTCCCGGATTTCATGCAAAAAAAATATGGTCACCTTTGATTAATGCATATAATAATTGTAATGAGAGTTGTATAAGGGCAGGTATGATAAAAGTTGACCTTTTTGGCTCTAATTCAGGCAAATTTATGTGATTTGTAATAAGGGTTGTTGGTGGTAGAAGGCAATGCGGATGAGTTAATCTCATTGAAACCTTTAGAACTTATGACATAAAGTTATTTGTAACAGAAGAGTATAAAAAGACAACCCAATTCTTATCCTTCCTAGTGGGGATTATATTTTTTCACATATCTATGATTTATATTTACAAGAAAAACGGATATCATATGAAGAACCATATTGAAAAAACTGAATTTGGAAGGGTTGTTGATGTTAAAAGGCAAAGTGGTGAGATCCTGGGAGCACATAGATATAAGAGAAAATTTACAACTTCTTAATTAAAGCCATTTAGTTATTGTTTTGTTAGTTTTAAGAGACAATCCAATGCTTGTCCTTCCTAGTAGTGAATATGATATGATAGATGATTATGAGTCTATGATAGATGAAGGATGAGCTCTAGAACTGAAGAATTAATTAAAACAAGGTTGTGAAATGTTGACAAAATTGAATGTGTGTATGGTTTGACTTATGAATCCCTTTGCACTAGATTTCTGTCATATTTAACATATATAATAATTGTAGTAATGGTTTTCTGTGGTAAAAGATAAGGTGGATGAGATTCAGGAGCCAGGTAGATAGAAGCGCTAGAATCTAAGAATTTCAAAGAGAATAAGATATGTTGACGTATGAACAATGTTTTTTTTTTATTTTTGACATATAGATCTGTAGTAGTGATCGGAAGGGTCGTTTTCTCTTGAAAATTTATTTTTGATCTATATTTTCAATATCACTACTGCATGATATCACGTTGCACGTTACACTTGCTTGTCATATGCTCAAACCACCCATACCCATTAAATTAAATATTTTTATTTTTTCAAAAGTTTAATTTAGCACTTCAAATCCAATTTTTATAATCAGGTTCTAAGAACCGAGTCAATTTTAAATAAAATCATTTTTCATCAATTGAAATTTTTTGTTTACGGCTTCGAATATGGTAACATGAAAAATGAATAGACAGTGAATTAGGCTGATGAATTTTAGTATTTTACTAATCACCATTTAATGTTAAATCTAGAAATGATAACATATCATATATGAAAATGCATTTATTACTTGTAATTAAATTTTACTTTACGATCAAATAATAATCTCTTCGAGTAGAACAAATTTATACTCAACAAACGGTATTGAGAATAACATCAAATAAATGTTTTTTTTCTTTGGTTGTAAAAGATTTTCTGAAACGGTTTCACTATCATTCTGGAGATAGTGAACAAATTATATTTTTAAACTTGGATTTTCTTTCAATATGCAATATATATTCATGAAGTTGTGGTTTTATAATGTTTTATTATAAATAAAATATTGAAAGTTTTTGAATCATTAATTAATATTAAATCTAGAAATTATAACATAATATATATGAAAATATATTATCATTAGTACTTGTAATTACTTTTACTTTACGAGTAAATAGTAATATAATTTTGAGAGCAAATATAAGCTCAGCAAAATATATCAAGAATTACACGAAATAAAATATCATTCATCAAATTATCATTGAATCATTGAATTTCAATTTGATCGAATTGAATAACGTTCGATTCGTATTGATAAGGACACGATTTCTTTAAAAATCGTTTTGAAGATATTGTATTGAAAAATAGGACGACTATGCTTCCTGAAGTAGAACTTAATCATGAACTTAATCTTTAACTAATCTTAAAAATGAAGCAATTTAAAATGAAACATGAAACTAGTAGATCAAGAGTAAGATATATTATATTTATCACACTTAAAATAAATTCATGGTTGTTCTCTCGATTAATAATCTTAATCTTAAAACAAATTTAAATATTCACCACGAATAAAAAAAAACTACAAATGTACAATTAGATTTGTACGATGTTTATCTAGTCGTCCAGTGTTACGTATTGAAAAGTTATATTTGACAAACAAAAAATAAGGTTAAATAGTGTGGTTGACTGTATGTGTGTGTATATATGTATACAAAATGTATCTTTTATTAAGTGAATGTATAGTATAAGTGTGTTTATATGAATACAGTTGTCTGTGGTCGACGTGAACGTCCTTGATGGCAAAAAGTCGACATTTCATTTCTTTGAAAATGTCAAGAATGAAACAACTTTTATAATGCGAGCCATTCTGATGGTATGGCGTCTATCATAATCATTTTGTGGCTAAAGGTGCCCAACATGTTTCGTGAATACATTAACCATTAACCACTCGCACATACTGCACGATAAAGGTCACGTGCGGAGATGATCGATCGTAAAAGATACATTTCTAATAATAATAATAATAATAGGATTTCGATAATCAAAAGACTACTGGAAAACTGGTATTAATGTGTTTGACATTATGGAAAGTATTTATTAATTATAAATTCGAATTATAATAATAATTGGCAAATCCTTACATATGGTTTTGTACTTCAATTTATAGACAAGTTGGCCTATTATCGGATAACATAGCTATGTTATGTTATCAGACTCCCATACTAACATGTGTCAAATTAGAGTATATTGAAGATTTGCTATTCTCGGAGCACACATTTTATTTAGATAAATTACGTTTTGTTGATATTGGTTTGATAATATGTTGGTAGTCCCGATTTTTTTAAAAAGCTATATTTTCAATATTTATACTAGCGTTAGTTTAAATTTTTCACAGATCTCAAAGTAACATTATTTTGACTTTGAACATATTAACCTATTATTGTGAATTGCTTATTGTTATCTCCTAAATTTTACGCTGATTTTTGTTTATTCTAATATTATAAGAAGTTACATTTACTGTCTATGCTTTAACCATGCAAAGTTTCTTCAAATTAGAAAAAAATGACTAAGAAGAGTTGTATTTTTTTATCATATGCAATATACAAAATGGCACTTTCGGGTGCATCTGTAGGGATTTTCAGGTCTTAGATAACTGAAATATAATAATAATGGCCATGCAATATACAAAATGCAAACATAATAAGCGTATACAAAAATCATAACGTCAGGCGCTCTCGAGAGCATCATTAGAGATTTTCAGGTTTTAGTATATAAGTATATAAGTGAAATATAATAATAATGGCCATACAATATACAAAATGTATACATAATAAGCGTATACAAAAATAATTAAGTCAGGCGCTCTCGAGTGCACCTGTAGGGATTTTCAGGTCTTACTTTATAATTATATAACTGAAATATAATATTAATGGCCATGCAATATAGAAAATAAGCGAATACAAGAATAATTACGTCAGCCACTCCCAAGTGAACCTTTAAGGATTTTCAGTAAGTATATAAGTGAAATATAATATTAATGACCATGCAACATACAAAAGAACGTTTACAAAAATAATTACGTCAGGCACTCTCGAGTTTACCTGTAGGGATTTTCAGGTCTTAGTATATGTGAAATATAGTAATAATGGCCATGCAATATACAAAATTCATACATAATAAGCGTATACAAAAATAATTAAGTCAGGCACTCACACTGGCGAGAAGTTTTGCTTTCCTAATCCTCTCTACTCTGAAGGATGTATGAATTTTCTTCTTGTCAATTTTTTTCTTTTCTTCGAATCATGATTTTTACTATCTATTTCGAATGTTATGAACTTAAAATGTTCAGTTTTGAGCTGGTGTGAACACTACACTATTCTTTGAGCACTCTAGAGTGCATTAGTAGGGATTTTCAGGTCTTAGTAGAATCGAATAATAATGGCCATGCAATATACAAAATGCATACATAAAAGCGTATGCAAAAATAGGTACGTCAGGCACTCTCGAGTGTGCACCTTTTAGGGATTTTCT